GCTCCGCTCGATGAGTTCTCAAACCAACCGAACGGCAGCAGTGCGGGTGTGGGAGGCAGAGGCGGTCTTTTCGACGTGTCGGATTCGTTTGTGGAGTCAGCTGTTGGTGCAGGCTGTGCCTGCAGAAGGACCCAGGTGGTCTGCGATGAGGTCAGCTCCTCCTGGAGCGGGGGTGTTGCATCTCCAACTCTTTTCTTTGATGCTCATGTGTAAGACCGCTGTGTTTCTCTCTGGGATTTCCCGCATTGTGGTGTTGTCTTCTGAGAAATGTGAAGTTCTTGGTTTGTGGGCTGCACATCCAGTGCACGTGAAGGCAAAAACTTGTGGGCAGGAGAGATGATGAACGCAGAGGTGCCCAGACTGAGCTGTAGCCCTTCTTGTGCTGACGCAGAACGTGCTGCCGTGGATGTTACTCTTTCAGAGGAGGAGAGATTCGAGCAAGCAGCATGCGGAAGTCCCGAGAGCCGTGTTGGTGGCTGCTGGAAGCCCTTCCCAGTTCCATTGTTTGAAGAAGAATAGATCCATCACATTTTCACACTCTGCCCTCCGGTTTGGCTTACTCATCGAGGTAGATGTAGCATTTGTCTCATTCACAGGAAATAGCCGTGCTGCTCTGGTTTGCCCAATAGTGTGTAATGCAAATGCGATCTAATTCAGATCCGTGAGGGCAGTTTAAGGCCTGCCTACCAAAGAGATGCGAGCTTCGAAGCTGGGTATTACGGTAGTGGTAGAAAAAGAAACGTGAGATGGGCTGTTCTGTTTCCGAGAAAGCCCACAGATGTGGTCTTCACGGCTCTGATTTACTGCCTGTGCTTTCTTCAGCCAGCGCGGTGCACCTCAGGGGTGTGTACGGAGCTCCGGTGCCGTGCGGTGGCTGCTTATTGCTGCTGGAGCCTTTGAATGTTGGGGAAAGCAGCTGTCGGTGACTGCTACAGCAGTTTCAAAATACCTTTTTAAAACTGTCTGGTACAAGGTATTTTTCTGACTAGATCGTGCTGTGCTTTTGTTGGAAGGCTTCAAACTAGAACAGATTTTTAGCCTGAACTTTGGCCGTCACGTGTACTTGCTAATTCTTCATGACTCCATCGGAAGAAACTCCTCAGTAAAACTTACTATGGTGAATTAATAATACCTGAAATCTCACCTGAAATTGTTATTTTTTAACTAGAGATATATCAGTAATGAATTTGTTATTAAACTGTATTGGAGCATGTCCTTCTGCAGCATCGTAATAATTCTGTAGCTGCTTCTACGCAATGGTTTCCATCTCAGTGTGAGAATAAATGTGCTTCTGTTTAGTGCAGAAGGTTAGTTCAGCTCGTGCAGTGTTCGGGGCACTAGGGCAGAGTTAGCGGGAGGCAGGATCCACACCGGCAGAGGTAAAGCTCGTTCACTCAGATGTCTCGGTAAAGAACCCAAACAGCCAATACCTTGTTCTTGAGGAACCATCTAAGCTGCCCGCTCGCTCTCGGCAGGGCTGGGCGCTCGGTACCGCCCGAGCCGGGTGCCACGTCTGGCCCCTCCGGGGTTGTGCTGCGCCGACCCGCCGAGCGCTCCCCCCTTCGCCTGCCTGCGCTGCGGATTCCCAGTTGCGTTATCCCAGTAGATTTTTCTGGGGATGGGGCCGCTTGGCAGGGAAACGGGGCGTGGAAGCCCCACCACCAGAAACATCAGCTCTTGAGTTCCTGGATGTCCCAGTAAGCGAAGCGTGTTGTATCCCAGCACTTCAGTCTTTCCAGGGGCAGGCAGAGGAAGAGGTGTGCGGTTTTTTTAGGGTTCAAATACAGAAAGAGAAAAAAAATCACCTTTTAAACATCACTCAGCGTACGCAGTTCAGGCAAACTCATGTAGCCTTTCACGTGAGCCCCTGTCTCAGTGCCTGGTCACTGCTCTTGGACCATCCTGAGAGTGCGTTATCTAGGGAATCCAGAACTGCTGCTTTGGTCATCACCATTTTGAAAGTGTCTTTCCCTGGAAGGCGTTTTACCCTTCCTTTACTGCTCCCACAGTTAAAGAGGACCCTTGTGACTTGGAGTAACATACCTGCCCTATCCTTTGCTACGCGTTTCAGCCTCACACAAAGCCCAGGGTGTCATTTTTACCACTGGTCTTCATTCTCTTGCTGAGAATTTTCAGTTTTCCTGTCCCCGGCTCTCGATGGAGTCTGAAGAAAATTGGTTTTCACCCTCGTGGGTCCAGCCCCTTCCGAGGTGCTTGTGTGTGATCGGGAACCTCAGAGTGCTGTGAGGCACTGGGGACTCTCGCGCAGAGCCCTGGCTCAGAGGGTGACCCTGCGCTCGAGCATTCAGTGATTTGGAAATTCCCTGTCATCCAGGGCTCTTACGCTGGATTTCTGGAGTAATTGCAGCTTGTTTTTATGGGTTTGAATGGAGGGGAAAACACTTCAGAGCTAGCATCTTATTCCTGCCGAAGCTCCCTAGATGCTGATAGGGTGCTGTAAAAGGTGACTTGGGAAGACTAAATTTACATTTGCGTTCATTTAGAGCCGTTTTACATTGCTGGAATGATGTGTCAGGGAGACTGACAGCCGCCTTTGCCCTGCCTTTGGGTGAAAAGGGACGGTGTGAAACGTGCGCCCACCGAAACCGATAGCAAAGCTGTCGCTGGCTTCCACGAGCACCGAATCCGGCCAGAAACAGGGTGGTCACAGCAGGGTATTCATCGCCGCTTATTCCCTTCCCACCTCCAGATGCCGTTTGCATTGTCAAAACGCCATCCTGGATAGCTGAGAGTATTTTTAACAGAAGCTTCAGAGCAGCTCTTCCCTGCTCTCCACAAGTCCCTGTTGAGCCACTGTGGGTGTCTCGTGCGGGAGTCGGCAGCGCTCCGGGAAGCCTGAGGAGATCTCTGGGTGCCTGAAGCAAGCGCGAAGCCGGGGAGAACCGTTCATCTCCAGCGCTCCGCTCCGCAGCTGCTGCTTTGTGCAAGGCTTCCTCGTTTGGTTGGGGCTTTTTGGCGTGGGGTGTGACTTTGATCTCTCCTGAAGAATCCGGTCCTGTGGTGATTTTCGCAGTAAGGTGTCGTGGGAGCTCGCTCCCTTCGCTGCAGCCTAGGGGTGACGCTTTCAGCCTCAATAATCAAATATTATTAGAAGAGCACGACAGGCAGCGCCGGGTGGTGTTTTCTGTTTT